GCTACATTTCACAGGCATCTCTTGACAATGTGAGCAGTTAACAGTTAATGTAAGTAAACCACATATCTGACCTTTACACCGCGGTTAACCACATGCTAAACCCCCACATCTGATCAGTGAACGCAGCCCCAGGTTAGCGTGTTGGGAGCTATTAAAGCACACACTCTGCACAGATGTGTCTACACAAGCTGAAGTTAATTCAAAGAAAATATACTGCACAGGTATTCAGAAAGGCTGAAGAAACATCAGGTACGGATTTAGGCTCATCTGCTTTCCCCCATCAGTCCAGCTGTGAAGAAATGACGCAAAAAAAATGTAACATCCACTGAAGACCGGCAGATTCAAGAAAACTGAGGTCAGAGAGTGTGACTGATAAGATTTTCTTTAACCATACATATTGTCTATTCATTTGTTTGGTTTGAATATAAGTCTGAAGTTCTTAATTTGGAATTTTCAGCCCCTTGAAAGGAATTTTTTTTTAAGACTAGTCAAATTATCTCAGTGGGATGTTGCCTTTATTTAGAATTCTTTAGACTTATATCTGCAGACTGAGGGTTTCCCTGGATTACATTTACAACTATTTGTGTTTCTCTTTGTTTACCCTTATAATGTCAGCTCTTCTGGTTCTGTGGTCACAGCATGTCGGAGATGCCTGAGGTTGTGTGGCTTCCTAAGCGGGACAGTGCCCTGAATATAGGGCACCACTTACGGCAAAGGGCGTTGTCAGATGGCTTTATCTGACCTTAAACTTCAACTTTGTAGGCATTACATTAGTGAAATAACTTTTTTTGCAACTGTGTCAAGTATACCTTGTACTGTATGCTATAGCAGCATCTTCCATCTCTATCTTTATCCAGTTCATCTTGCAGTGACAGATGGTTTCACTGTCAATCAATCAGATGAAGTATCATACTGTATAAAGAAATATGTATCACTGCAAGTGATTACTTCTGAACCTGCCTTTTTAAAGTGTTTTATTACATATTGGCACAGACTAAATAGGTTCAAGTGCAACTGAATTCTCCCCAACATTTTCTCTTGAGGCTTGCATAAAACCCAAAATGCTGACGTCATGTATTTTGAACATAGCCAGCTCAGCAACACTCTACCTTTTACTCCTCACACTCTTGCACAGAGTGATATTGTTGAGTGCGGTTTGGCTGTGTGAGCTCATTGTTTTCAGATGGAAATGCCTGAGGATTGGGGTCACACTCAAACACACACATGGGCACTACTTTCAGCAAACGCAGCTAGAGTCAGAAAATACATGCAACACATTTGTATTTGGCCTTTATCCTTCAATAAAAACAGTTGCTCCTCCTTTCTTCGGTTATTCCCATTGCCAGATGACACGGGCAGCATGTCTAAGCTGAGGGTGTGCGGCTGTGAGGGAATTCCTTGGAAAGGATTATTCCATGGAAAACATTTTCAGAGGAATAACACAAAAAGTCCCGTTTGCATTTGTCCTACTTTTGTCAGCAAGTTGCGCAAAGGTAGAAAAAGTACCTTTTTTGATATCTCGTCAACAGCCATGACACAAAGCACACTTTCGCTGTTTTGTTAGGTTCTCTGCTGATAGTGCAACACTTAGTGACTATTTTTTCTTCTTCTTTTTTTAGACCACATGGTTCTTTTTTGTCTGGCTGTCCACCAGGGCACACCATCTTGGCTAACACGCCATATTAAATAGCACTTTTACCCAATTATCAAGAAAATGGGCCTGACCCTTTCCCCAGACAAATGTGAACAGTTGTACAATGTGTTGCAGTACACCTTTAGTTACCTGTCAGCTGTGTGGTGCTGGTGCCATTAGACGATGCCCTCCATGTGTTTCTGTGCTTACGAATCTCCTGAACCCTGCAGGAGTAGAAACCCTGGTCCGTCCGGGTCACATTGAGAACCTGCAACCGGTACACCTCTCCCTCCGTTTCCTCAAACAGACGGTACTTTAGTTGGGTGAAACGGCGGGTGTAGTTCCCATAAAGCTTTATTTTCTTTATGCCCAGCTTCACAATCAGAAACTGAGAGGCCTCGAGTGCTGGAGGAGAAGGGGACGGAGAGGAGGGAGGAGGTGCGAGAGTGGGAGCAGCAGGAGGAGAAAAGAACCAGCGGAGGATGAGGACGCTGCCGCTCCTCTTCCTCTGAGACACCATGCAGGACAGGGTCACGTTGTCTTTCTCTGTTACCATCACAACAGGCCCGGGGGTCACCGTCACATTAAGGCCATGACAGACCTCTGTTTACAAAAGACACAAGCAGGACACCTGGTATGTAAAGTCTTCTTTCTTTGTTGTTGCATACTTTAATACACTATTGGTTACTTTTGTATATGCGTCTTTATTAAATGGTGTATTCATATTGTTTGTATCAATACATGTTCTGTTTTATGACAGAATAAAATCAAACCAAACCATAAAACATATGCTTTTCCAAACGTAAGGACACTCAGTAGGCCTACACTGTGATCTGGTAGCTTGGGTGACCGCTCCCTGCTAGTTAAATTAGTAATTAACTAGAGTTGCTAATGAGCTCCACATGGGAAAAAGTCTGAGTTCATTTTGATTTCCTGCCAGTTAAACATAATTGTAGCATTTAGACAAAGCATGTTTGTATGCACACCCACAGTGGCTGTTTGGATTTATGGTGTAAGAGATCACACTATCACTGGTTCTACTTATGTCATTCCATCACTGGATGGGAATTCAGTCTGTAAAAGCAAGAGGGCAGGAGGACTGAGAATCAGAGAGTAAAACAAACTTTCTTTGCCCCCTTTTTTACCTCTGGGTTACGTTTGTCTATAAGAGACATGAAGTCTGGACACAATAAGTGTGATCAGACGAGCAAAGAGACTCTACAGGTGGGAAACATTCATCTTCAGATTGGTACACCCTGAAACTGGCAAAGACTATCAAGACAAGATAACAGGGACCATCTGGGCTGTTTTGTTTTGTTGCTGTGTTAGTTTGGGAACTCGGGGTCTTTCCTACAAAACGTTATGTGACAACAAAAGCAGCGACAGTGACTCAAACCAAACACAAAACTGAACATAATCAAAAGATTATAGGGCAGGAAATATGAGTCGTAAGTGCACTTTATGGCAGTTTCTAGAATGCAAATTATACTGAGGTTTTCTCTGATCACAGGGAACAAAGTTGCTTGACTCCAAATGTGTTCTTTCATTTTAAACAAAGCCATATTTGCCTAGAAAAATATGTTCTTCTTAAGGTTGACAATAGTTAATGCTCTTGCAACTTTTGGTTGTTTTACAGACAAAGAATACTATGGAGTGTTTTTTGTAGGTTTTACATTATTTGTATAAACCAAAATAAATAAAAAATGTCTGGTTTCACTGGTGCATGTTAGATGATAGATCAAGTTACTACTTCAGACACATTCTCTTTCTTTTCTTGCATGCTTGCTCACTCTCTTACTGGTTATTGCTGTAAACAAAGTGAACTTACCTGTAACCAGAGCCTTAGTCAGGACAAGGACCGCTATAGAGAAGTACATTGTCCACAGTCAGCGAATCCATAAACCCAGACAACTGCAGAGCACTTGCACAAGCAGCTACATTCAAAACAGAGTCTGACTGGACAACCCACCAGAGCCCTCACCCACCATTAACTCTTCTCCTCTTTCTCCTCTTTTCTGTGTAATATGAAACAGTAAATGCTCTGTTCCCACTTAGAAACTCCCACTCACTCTCCCAGTACTCTCTCCCTCTCTCTGACTGTCTCTCCGCCTCTCTCTCTCTCTCTCTCTCTCCCCCTTTCTCTCTGTGTCCTGCAAAACGTAGCAAATGTCATTTCCTGTGTTCCTGTGAGAAGTCTTGGACTAAAGCCCAAAACCCCAGAACTCTAAAGCGATGGTCGAGTCTCGTGGTTTGTGTGCGTCTGTCAAAGTGTGTCATTTGGAGAGGCACAAAGTGCTTTGCATGCACTTCCATCACCCAAGTTACTCTCAAAGTCTAGGGGTGAGCCTCATCTGACATCTCCAATCAGAGTAAACAAAGAGCAAATGTTGTATGTTCACGTATGGGAGCTTTATGTTCACATGCATGTGTTCTGTTCATTTTGTGTGTGTGTGTGTGTGTGTGTGTGTGTGTGTGTGTGTGTGTGTGTGTGTGTGTGTGTGTGTGGTGCAACCTCTCCCCGTCTGGACAGAGTGGCATGGGCTTGTCTCTGGCTGTGGTTGTCAGACTGTCCCAGTGGTATGAAGCCTGCTGCTTTATTGAGCAGACTAAACTGCTGAGGCAGGGCTTCTGCTGGCGCTTTGAGCTCTGCCAAAGCCAAATGGAATTACACAACACAGTTAACCCTTCAGGTTGTAGGATATTCTTGAAAAGCATGGATTCCAATGAAAATGCAATGGGTGGGTTAATACAGTAACTTAATCTTCTTTGACAAATTATTTAGTATTGAATAATTAGTTAATGTATTATATACAGTAGTACAGAAGTTCTTCAATTGTGGGGCATATGTAAATGAGTTCTTTGGACTTTTGAGAAATATGATGTCTTTATTTCTATATCTTTTACCTGGGGTTTCCCTCAAGTTTTCTCTTACATAAGTTGAAGTATTTGCTCCAGTGGAGGAATCGCTCTCCTCTGCCCTGCAGTGGTCAAAGCAGGTTACTGCTTCTCAGGGGATCAACAACACGTACAGTAGGCTGCTATGAAGCTGGGGACTCTCTGCAGGCATTCTCACCATAGCTGTGTACATTTCCCATGGGTATAATAGGCAAAGACATACACACACATGTGTCATTAACAAAATGTTATTTTCCCTTTTTTTGTTTATCAACTCTCTGAGGACATATTATCGTGCTCTCTCAATAACACTTTGTAATTGCCTTATGCACCCTTTCTATGCACTAAAAAGACTGTTCATTGTGAGTCAGACCCAGGGTACATTTCAAGAGTGTAAACAGGATGCCAGTGGCAGTAATATTATATTGTTATTACAGTCTTCTGGGTAGTAAAATGAAATCAACATGCAGCAGTAATATTTTACATTTCCTTTTTGTTTATTCAAAAACCTTTACAATGTGATTCTAAAAGACATTGTGGTGACATTGTTTGGATGAATTAAGTGTTTTTATTGCTTTAATTAGTCCATTCCGCATTACTCTGTATCACAGCAACATTCTCACAAACTTCCAACTTTCAAAATGGAGTACTGTATGAAATTAAACCTCAAAAACAGCAATAATCACATTACCATTGTCTGACTTTGACAAACTAGGCGCTACACCATCTGCAGATATTTCATTGTCACTTCAGGTCTACCAATTTGTCATGCATCACAAAATGGATTAAAAATAAATATAACTTAAAAAGGCTTGCCAATGTTCATAGCAGAAACCAATGTTTTTCCAAACTACTAAACACTATAGTCACACTGTTGCTTTTCTAATGTATGATAAAATACTTATAGGTTCAGGAGACAATGGGATACTTATTAATGTATACACAAGACACATATCTTAACTTCTCACATTCAAAAGTCAAATGGAATGGTGAACAAAAAATAGCAACAGTGAATCTCCAAAATCAATCAGTATTTTCACTTGAAGTCATTCACATACACTTAAAATACTGCATATCTTGATCCATTCATACTGTGCTTTTGGGTACTTCACTTATCTGTTTAACAGTATCAACCCCTTTAGAAGAAAAAGCTAACAGTCTTTGCTCTCACCAGTCAGACATCTCCATAAAGTCATCCAGTTCACTGATGCTTATTATATCACGGGGCTGACTTTGTGAGTGGGCTGAGTTATCATTTTCACAAACCGGGCTTCCTGCAAGCTGGCTGTTTGTGTCAAACTCTGGGAAGGATTCATATGGGCCATGTGTGTTGTAAACTGTGTTATATGTTTTGCCTTTATCATTAACTGTGTCCATGTATGGAGTCTTCTCTGGGCTGTAGCAATGCCCGTCAGAGTTCTGTCCCATCTCAGGGGCTGTGTGTCCATAGCTGTGGCTCTGCCTGACAGACTGCTGGTTCTGGTGGACGGTCACAGGGGCCGATAAACTGTGGGAGGGCACAGAGTTGATAGATGGAGCTTGGTAGTCTTTGGGATAACCATGGTTGCCTTGATAAACCCCAAAAGGCTTGCCAGCTGGAGAGACCTGGGACTGTTGTTGAACCTTGACCTGCATGTGTGGTTGGAGCTGAGGTTGTGTGTACATCTGCTGGGGCGGGGCTCGGGAGGTGCTTTGGCCAGACTCGCGCACATTCAGCTGGACATACTTTCCCGTCTCTGGGTCGAAGAAAGTCTTAGTTTTAACTTGAACCGGCACATCAACCACAAAATACTGACCAGAGCCGAGGTCTTGCAGCACCTTACGCTGGGTCATTGGGTAGGAATGGGGGTAGCTTGACTCTACATGGTACTGTGTCACTGGAGCTGGAGCTGGGTGTTTGGCATGATGGAGAATGGGAGAAGAAGAAACATGAGCAACTGTCTTAAGAGCAGAAGTGTGGGAAGCAGGGCCAGCAGCATTAGGCGGGGCAACAGGGATGGAAACGGGGGCAGTGGCATGAGGTGATGCAACTGCGAGGGAGATAGGACCAGTGGCATGGGGGGAAGCATAGCTGTGAGAAGATTGATGCTTAGAGTGTAAAGAAGCCAAGCCAGACCCTGCTGCTGGAGCGTGAGCGAGGGAGACAGGTGAGGAAAAATGAGGGGAAGCAACAGCTCGGCGGATGTTGGAGCATACCTCAATGGAGGAAGGACTATTGGCGTCTTCTTGAAGAGATTTCTCAACTCCAACAGGGCTGTCTGCTACCGTTTTAGAGATATCCTTCTTTATTCTACGAGTTGTCAACCTTTTTGCTCTTCGCAAGGCTTTCTCACTCTTTGGAGGAACAGTTGGAGGCTTGCCCGTAGAACGGGACATATCACTGCTGTAGCTACAGGCCGATTCTGGTCTCTCGTAGTCATACAGGCCTCGTAGGTCTGCAAGGTCTGCTGCACTGGTGGCACAACTCTCGCCATCCTCGGACATGTTGCTGATGACGGAGCGAGAGTCGTCTTCATCTAGAACAATGCTCCTCCTTGAGTACGGTCTGTGCTGGGAGAGATGGGCTGAGTAGTCTTGAGATGAATATGGATAAGTGGAGGATTCTTTGATAGCAGCAAGTCTGTTTAAACCTGTGTCAGGAGTACCAGCGCTGCGTCTCATGATCTCCTGCTCTTCATCTCCTCTCTCCAGGGGTGATCCTACCCGGAAATCCTCTCCAAAGCTTTTATGGAGGCGTGGTTTGACCGACTTGGTGAGAGAGGAACCTCTGAAAGTGTTGTCCTTCACCCTGAACATTGAGGGCTTGACTCCCAGAGCAGGAGAGGAGCTGTTTGAGCGGGGCAAAGATAGTGCTGGAGATGCAGCTGCTTGTGGCCTATAGGACCTCGTGTATGATCCTGAGTCCTCGGCTGACCCGAGCCCTGAGGGATGCTGTCTTTGTTGAGAAGGTGAAGGGGAGCACAGCTGTCTTTCTCTGGGTTTCTTCTCTGAATCTGCTGAGGTGATGGCATAGTACTGGAGGGAATCCATCTTTGCTGTTGCTCTTTTCTGCTTTTCGGCTCTCTCCGTTTCTCTGTGATCAGTAAACGTGTGATCTTTCTCTTCCCTCCTCTGAGCCCTGATCTCCTCCTCTCTTTGAGTTTGCATCCGTTCTCTTGCCACTCTCTTCCCCTCCTCTTTTATTGCTGCTTGGCTTTCCTCAATGAGTCTGCTCATCTCCTCTTTGGCTCTCCGTTCTTCTCTTTGTTTTATAAGTGCTTTTTCAACAGCTCTCTTCTCGTCCTCCTCTCTCTGAGTTCTCATCCAGTCTTCCCTTTTCCGCCTCTCTCTCATCTGCTCTTCAATCTTCTGATCTGCTTTCTCCTTCTCCTCAAGAGTGGCTCTCCTCTGCTGCTCCTCTTGAACAGCTTTCTCCTCTTGCTGTCTCCTCCTTTTCTCCTCATTTTCTTTGAGCAACTCTTCCTCCTTTCTTAATGTTGCTCTTCTCTCCTCCTCAACCTTTGTTCTCCTCTTCTCCTCAATTTCTTTTATTCTCCGTTCTTCTTCTATTTGTTTTGCTCTGGTCGCCTCTTTTTCTTGAGATGCTTTTTCTTCTTCTGCTCTTCTTTCTGCTGCTCTCTGTTTCCCCCGCCTCTCCTTGATTTTAGCAGAAATGGCCTCCCGTTCCCTTATTCTCCTCTCCTCTTCTCTCTGAGCAGCTCTCCTCTCTTCTTGAGCCAGAGAAGCTCTATTTTCCTCTATCATTTGTTGAACTCTCATTTCTTCTGCTCTCTTCCCCTCCTCAATCCTCGAAGCTTCTTTTTCCTCAAACTGTTTTGCTCTACTGCGCGGTTGTGCCTCGATTTCCTCATGCCGAGTTGCAAGCATTTTTTGTCTCCTTTTATCTTCCCCAATGTTAGCCAGTGCATTTTCAATCTTCCCATCTTTTCTTGGAGTTGCTGTGGTGTCTTCTACACTGCACCCTTCTCCCACAACGTGTTCAGGTGGATTGGAGCTATCCATTGTCTTGAGGTGTTGTGATGCAGAATTGCTTCGTAGCCTGTTGACTGAGGTTGTTGATAGCGACGGAGGATTATTTGGCTGATGAATGCTTTGTGCTTCTTGACAAACTCTTTGGTTATCAGTTCCAGCCACTTGTTTTTCACTTCTCTGGTTCGAAAGATACTTTGTTGGTGACTTGCTTGTTTCTTTGAGGTGTTGTGCTTGTTTTGAATCTCCATCTAATATACCTTTATTGGCTTTGGCATCCATTTTCATTTTGTCTTGTCTTTCTTTGTCGCCCAACTTGAACATCCCCGTCCTTTGGTGTTCTTTCTCTGTAATTGGAAATACGACAGGTTTGGGCTCTTTGTTCAACTTGGAGTTGACCTCCGTCTTTTTTGGCAGACTTTTCTGTTTCACAGGGAGGACTTGTGGGTCAGCAGTGAACACCGGACGTCTGCTATGGCGAGTCTGTATTATTGGAAAGAATCCCTCCTTTTTGTTAGGCGGGAATTCCTGAATTGGGTTTGCTTCATCTTCTGAAACAATCACTTTTAACCTGGCATAGTCTGCAAGTGCTGATATCTCAGGTATTGTGGATACCCTTTCTTTTGGCTTTGGTTTAACTTGAGGTTTTTCCTTATCTGTATCCTCATATGTTGGGTGGGTTTTTCTTGAGCTCTGCCTTTCCCTTGCTGATAAACTGGGCTGCTTCACTGTTTGACGTTTTCTGATGTGAATAGCTTGACTGGCTTCTGTCTTCTCATTTGTATTACTCTGTTTCTCTGTGGGACTATTACTCTGTTTCTCTGTGGGACCATCACTCTGTTTCGAAGCCAGGTTATCTTCTGTTTTCCCGTTTTTCCTTTTCATATTATCATCTTGAACTTTTGCTGAAATTGTTTCCACTGTTTTCCTTTCACTTTGATCAACCACATGTTTTTCTTCATTGCAGGATTTATTGCTGATAGCTGCCGTGTTTGGTAGTAATCCTGGAAGTTCCTTTTCTTTTGAAACCGCATCTGACGTAACTTCAACATTTGTACAGTTTTGTGTGTCGTCATTAGTTTCTGATACCCCTTGTACTTGGAAGTAGTCTCCCACCGTTGGTTGTTTCTTTAAATCGTCCACTGTTTCTCTCATATTGACTCTTTGAGGCTGTCCTTTTTCAGTGTTCTCAATGGTTGTGTTTATGCTGTTTTCTTGATTGCTGATTTTCAGTGAATCAGAAAGCCTTTTAACACTGGACAACACACTTTGTACTGCCAATTTTTCTTCCAAACTGTCTTGTGTCTGCTTCTCACTGTTTGCTGGAGCAAGGACTTTGCTTCTGTCTTCAGTGTTTAAAGTGTTTACTTTTTCTCCAAGACTGGATTGTCCATCTTGTTTAAACTCATCCAGTGCAAGTACATCAGAGGGGATAGTGGTGACACTATGTTTTCCCACCATTTTCAGGTTGACCTTTTCAGTTACTGCGGGCACAACTCTGATGGCAATGCTGCCTATATTCACATTATCATCCTCTTGGTTATTTTTGTCCATGTGTGTCTCTTCATACTGACGTTTTGGAGACACATGGGTGTTTTCATTCTCAGTTAAATTAATTGAGGGACTGATTTTGATGAATGGCTTTGGTGGTGTAGAGTCACACATGTTTTCTTCCACTAGAGGTGCACTGTTGCCATCTATTTTTCTGCTTTTGGGTGGATTTCTGACAGTTGACATGTCTTCTTTTACTGACGGCTGGATGTCATGTTTTATCAGAGTTTCGGCATCAGCTCCATTTGTGTTTTCTATCACTTCGGGCTTGGAGTTGTTGTTGGTATGTGTTGTTGGACGATCGTTTTGTTCGGTACTAATCTTTACTTTATCTAGTCTCAGGCTTTTTGCTGAGTTTTCTCTTGCCGTTTCTTTTGTTTGATCTTTAATTTTATTTGCCATTATGTCCTGTTTGTAGAGAAGGGGTTGCGATTCAGCCAAAACTTTATTTTTAGCAAGTTCAGTGACTGTGGAGGGTGCACCTTTTTTAACCAGGGATTTTACAATTATAGTAGAACTCTCCTGCTGGAGATTAGTATTTTTCTCTGTGACAGTCTCAGACACATTTTTCATTCTAGCTTCTAGGGTTGAAGTTTCTTGCCTGTTTTCGTGACGATTATTCATACCAACATTAGTTTGATCTTCCTTCTTTGTAGAATGAGTGTTCCGTACAACTTCAACCTTTGGCCTTACCATGCTAAGTTCCATTGAAGATGTATTTCCTTTACTTGCTTCCAGACCTGAGCTGGAATTACATTTATCTATCTCTGAATTATTGCAATCTTTACGATTCATTTGTTCTAGAGTGCTCATATTACTCTGACCTTTGTCCATAGATTGCTTTCTTTCTCGCACACTAACCATTATTCCTGTGATCTTCAAGCTCTCATCAGCTACTAGGGTCTCGTTCTGACCAAAGACAGTATTTAGTGAAGGTGCTGAGTCCTCATGTCCAGCTTCATGTTTAATTTCCGTCTCTTCTGTCGTCATAGGTTTTGATTTTTCAGATTCGACCGCAGCTATAGCTATTGATGGCTCCTCTTTCTTCTTGTTGAGATGTTCAGTTTTTACATCAACATTGTCTTTTAGTCCCTCTTTCTGCCTTGAGCTTTTTCCTTGATCTGCGTCTTGTTTTTCTCGCTTGTTTTTGGGTGTCTGCTCCTTACTTTGTATAGGTGACTTAATTCCAGTTTGATTCTCTTTCTTTAGATTTTCAACCAATCCTTCATTTGCGCTCATGTTATAACTTCTATCTTTTATGTTTTTTGATGTTTTGGGCCCATTGACATTGCTCTTAATTAGTTCTTCATGGTACAATAACTTACTGGAGATTGCGGCAGAGTTAACTGGGATTGAAGCAGAGCTTGGAGGTGAAAAAGATTTGACTGGATCCATCTGTATTTCTGAAGGCTCCATCTGGTGCTTTAGGGTGTGATTACTGGAAATTTCATGTTTTTTAGACATTTCCTGTGCTGGTGGCCTCTGTCGTATAATCATACTCTGACTACCCGATAACTGCCTGGCAGGATGTTTGGACATAAACCCTTCTCTTACTGCAAACCCCTTTTCCTTGATAGCTGAAATTTCTTTTTCAGCATGGGCTTTTATCCTTGAGGTCAGAATCTCCTGTTTGGTCTGTGCTCTCTCTTTACTGGACAATGCTCTGGGAGGGGTGAAGTGCGAACCTTTATCTGAACCTTCATTTCGCTCGAAGGGGAACAGTTTAGGCGGATGAGAATCTCTTTGTTCTGAAATATCAGTGTGTTTCAGAGGGTCAGATTTCTTCGACTTTTCAAGACTGTCATCCTTAACTTGATCAGTAACATTGTCAGTAATTGCTGTTTCATCTTCATTAAAAGGTAAATAATTACCACCAGATAATTTGAATTCCTTTGATGACTCACTATAAACATACTGACTATCTGTCAACTCCTTAGGTTTCAAGCTGCCTGCTTCCTCCTCATTCTGTGTGTTATCTGTTGCCACTCTGCTTGTAGGACTAGATTTATTTTTTGTTTCAACTTCATTAAGAGATACAACTGGTATTTCATCAGCGTCATTTGAAGAAACATTTCCTGCAGCCAACACGTTGTTGCTGGTTGGTGAAGTTGTATCAATAAAACCATATTTCTCTCGAAGACGCAGATATTCATTAGGACCACTATTAACTTGATCTACATATTGCTTGCTTAAAACTGAGTCATCCCTCTGTTGATGCATTTGTGTTGACTGCTGTTGATCTGCATTTTTATTGATATTTATCTTTAAACAATCATCTGTCTTACTCCCATTTTCTTTTGTTAGAACTGTATTTCTGACTTTCTCCTTTTGCTCTCCTCTCATTTTCTCTTTTATTTTAGCCAATTCAGCTTTAGCTTTAGCCAACTCTGTCTTAACTAGCTCAACTCTATCCGGCTCTCTTTTGACCTGCTGTGTCACTGGCGACCTTTCATGCATATTATCTTCTTTAGCTAGCTCAACTTTGGTTAGTTCTAACTTTGCCTGCTCTGCCTTTATGTCTTTGGCTTTACTTATCTGTGTTGAAGGTTGCTCGGCAGATTCTCGACTAGCATGTATTGAATCTTTCAAAACTGTTTTTTGTTTTACATCTTCAACTTGAACGTAATTTATTAGGGCATTTTCCATTTTAACTACCTTAGTGTTATTTTGGTCGAATTGAACTTGTTTCTCTTTTATTTGCTCAAGTTTACCAAGTTCTGTTTTAGCTTGTTGCTCTTGTATATGTTCAGGTTCAGCTTGTTCTGCTTTAGTTTGTTGCGCTTGTATTTGCATTATTTCAGCTTGTTTTGCTTTATCTTTTTGCCCTTCTATCTGCTTTAATTTAGCTTGTTCTTCTTTAGCTTGTAGCTCCCGTAACTGCTCTAGTTTAGCTTGTTCTTCTTTAGCTTGTTGCTCTTTTAACTGCTCTAGTTTAGCTTGTTGCTCTTTAGCTTGTTGCTCTTTAGCTTGTTGCTCCTGTATCTGCTCGAGTTTAGCTTGTTGCTCTTTAGCTTGTTGCTCCTGTATCTGCTCTAGTTTAGCTTGTTGCTCTTTAGCTTGTTGCTCCTGTATCTGCTCTAGCTTAGCTTGTTGCTCTTTAGCTTGTTGCTCCTGTATCTGCTCTAGTTTAGCTTGTTGCTCTTTAGCTTGTTGCTCTTTAGCTTGTAGCTCTTTAGCTTGTTGCTCCTGTAACTGCTCTAGTTTAGCTTGTAGCTCTTTAGCTTGTTGCTCTTTAGCTTGTTGCTCCTGTAACTGCTCTAGTTTAGCTTGTAGCTCTTTAGCTTGTTGCTCTTTAGCTTGTTGCTCTTTAGCTTGTTGCTCCTGTAACTGCTCTAGTTTAGCTTGTTCTTCTTTAGCTTGTTGCTCTTTTAACTGCTCTAGTTTAGCTTGTTGCTCTTTAGCTTGTTGCTCCTGTATCTGCTCTAGCTTAGCTTGTTCTGCTTTAGCTTGTCGCTCTTTTATCTGCTCTAGCTTAGCTTGTTCTGCTTTAGCTTGTTGCTGTTGTAATTGCTCTAGTTTAGCTTGTTCTGCTTTAGCTTGTTGCGCTTGTAATTGCTCTAGCTTAGCTATTTGAGCTTTAGCTGATTGCTTCTGTATCTGCTCAAGTTTAGCTTTTTCTGCTTTTATACGCTCTGCTTCAGCCTGTTCAGCTTGAACTCTTTCTGTTCTGATTCGTTCTGCCTCCATTCTCCCTTTTTCAAATTGATCTGCTTTTGCCTTTTCTTCCGCAATGTGCTCTGCTTCAATCTTTCCTCTTCTGGCCTGTTCAGCTTTAGCCTGCTCTAACCTTGCCTGCCTAGCCTGCTCTGCCTTTGCCAGTTCAGCTTTTATGTTTTCTTCTTTTAGCCTCTCTGCTTCAGCTTGTTTTACTTTGACCTGGTCATTTTTCTGTAATTTGGTTTGCTCTGACTTTGTCTGTTCATCTCTGGCACACTCAGGTAGATTTTGTCTAGACTTTTCTTCTATTTGCTCCTCCGTTTTCATATGTTTTGGTTTAACCTGGTTGACGCGCTTGTGCTCTGTTAGTTCTGCTTTGGCCTGTTCTGCTTTGCCTTTCTCCAAACCAATCTGCCCTGCTAAAATTAACCTAGCTGGTTCCCCCTTGGGCTGATCCAGTTGAGCCCAGTGTTGTGCCTTTGCCAGCTCTGCTTGGTTGTGTTGTGCTTTGATATCCTCTGCTCTGATCTGTTCAGGCCTAATCTCAATAACATATCTATCTTTCACCTGGTTAGCCATTGTGGGGGCAAATGCATTGCCAGGGTTAGATAATGAACATTTCTGCCTATTTGGTTCCAACTGTGATTTAGTTTCTATTGGCTGCTGACTTTGCAATTCATACACCTTTAGATTTGGCATATATTGTTTCCTCTGAGCTGTTTCTTGCATGGGGGTACTGATGTCTTTATTGAAATTCAACGTGTGTTGGTTTTTATATTGTTGATCAGCATATCTGTCATTATTCTGTGTCAAATAATCATCTTTCGGTTCATTTCCATCATTGTGTCCGTAATACTTTTGAAGTGCATATTTGTCCTTAAAAGCTCCAAGGTGTTGTCCATAATATGCTGGGTTTTCTATACTGTCATTACTCAATGGAGCATTTCGTTTCTCAAATTCTTTATTTACACTCTGCTGATTTTGTCTGTATTTGTCTTTTGGTGAATTGAGTTCCTCCTTTATTATGGCTGCTCTTTGGGAAGCCTGTGCATGTTGGTCTTTTTCCATTAAAGCAGTTATCTCTTGTTTCCATGGAGAGATTGCTTTCAGATTGTCTGTGTCGCGGCTGTTTGTCATTATCCACTTATCATGTGAGGACACATTACTGTCATCATATTGTTTGTCTTTGAGCTGCTGATATCTATCCACTTTTGTGAATTCCCTTTCCACTGTTTGATTTAAATGTTGCTCAGCATTTGCCTTACTTATTGCGTTTCCTCTGTGTTGAAAGTTGTCAGCATTTACCCGTGGTGTTTCTGTAGCTGTATAGGATTGTTTAAACTTGTATACATCACCTCCCGGAGATTCTACATTATCTATCCCGCCTTCCTTATAGGGAGTAAACGACAATTCTTCATAGAGATTCTGTCCATTAGCAGGAAGATTTTGAGGTTTAAGGTCAGTGAAGCCTGAGTGTTGAACCATCTCACTTTGCATCTGAGCTGTTTGGTAATTACTTGCGATTTGGCCTATGTGTTCAGGTTGAGAATTTAGTTTTGAAAGCGTCAATCCAGGGCTATGATAGTTGTTTGCATATTGATCTGAGGCAGCATTAGTCCTGGTGGATTCCTCTACCTGGAGAAATTGAATGTCTGGATCTGGAAAATCAGGGATGTCTATCACAGTGTCTCTTGGCTCCTGGGTAGAGGGCTCTATGTTTTTCTCAAATGTCTCCAAGCCTTTGAATTTGGTAGGACTGTAGGTGCTTTTGACTCTTTTCCTATTATCTTTGAGATTGAAGAGTAGGCTGCTGGCTCTGGATCTGTAGCTGGACATCCTAATATCTGGAGTGGCTCCTCTGCTTTCTGCTCGCACTGGAGCATGCTCCACAGGTTGAGGAGAATCTGCATTCTGTCCGACCTCTGATGTCTCTGCTTCTTGATGTGCATAAACTAAAGGCGTGAGCAGATGGCTGATGTTGAAGGGGGTCGTCCTTGTGGTACCACTGGTAACATTTGGTGCCATTGATTCTGCATTGTTGTTAAAGATTATTGAATTGTCATTGCTACAAAGCCCTCCCGGTTGATTTGTTGTCATCCCTGTTATGCAATTTTGCTCTGTCATCATTTTTATTTTTTGTTGAAGGGCTTTGACTGAGCTGATGGTGTCCTGGACACGTCGAGACATGTCACTGGAAGGTGACGCAGTTGATGGCCTTTGTGGTGGAAGCTTGGTAGTTCCTAGGCTCTGTGTACGCTTTCTGTGGGGGTAATGACCAGTCAACTCCGACTCACAGCGTTTCTCCACAGCAGGAGCTTTCTGCATCATTGTAGATGTTGAAGTGGATCGTTGATGAGTGGGAGGAACAACAGGTGCCAAGTTATTCCTCTGGTCTCTGATAACCCTCTCACCAAACTGATAAGGACCCTGTGGTTGGGCCTCCAGTGAAAGCTCCTTGTACATCGGTGTCTCATACCATTTAGGAAACTCCGAACAGTGCATAAACCCTGAGACTCCTCCTTGTGAGAAGGGAAACCTGTTATAGTCCCTCCATACCTTGAAGGGACTAAACTCACTGTGTATAAAGAAGTTAGAGTTACAGTTGACCTGAGCGGACATGCTGTGATTACTATGGGAAGAGCTCATAAAAGAGGATGCCGAATTCATGTCAGACACTTTAGAGGAGTACAAGTTAGTGTCTTGGGAGGCAAATGTGTCATATGAAGGGAACTGACCACTGTGAACGTTTTGCTGGTAAGGAGTAGAAAACTCTGTAAGTTCCCTTTGGATACTCATCAGAGCCGATTTATCCCAGCTTGTCTCATCATTCCACTCTCTGGGTTTTCCATCCGCCACTTCTCCATCCCTTTGTCCCTCAGAGTTAAAAGCTCTGATCAGAGAGGATACTCTTGAACGGCTTCTGCGTTGCTGTGAATTCAACTCTGTGGCTCCATTGCTGAGAAGAGACACCTGTTCTTGCCCCAGAGTTTCCCGCTGTTGAGAGGTTTCCACAAAGGATTGCTGGAATGAGGCAGAAACCCTCCCCTTTGTCTTCTCTCCATAAACCTCCCACTGTGGATCTCTCTGGATCTCGGCTCCATACATTCCTCCATGGATCATGTCCTGTCCATACTGCTGCATCCTGAGGGTGAAGCTCTCATGTGAAGCACTTTTAGGGTTCTCCCTCTCTCTGCCGTCTCTGTTCTGGCCACTCTCATTAAATGCCAGCTGTCTGTCTCTCTGGGCGCAGGGAGAAGATGAACAGAGGTCCGAGTCATTATAAACAGCCTCATCTCCAATGCAGAGACTCCTAAATGCTCGATCTGTCAAATTGCTGACCTCACGGTCAGTCTCATCCAGAAAGGACCCACCGCTGGAGGTATCACTGTAACCTCCATCGCTGTGCTTTCGATGCCCGCCACTTTTTCGGCCTGAGCGGCGCTTCTCAACTGAGGTCATGATGCAGGTTTGCAAGCAAGGATCTCTGTCTTCCGTTGTTCAGTCATTCATGCAAATACCGACCTTGAAATGATTCACTCCGCCTGCTGCTTGAGCTACAGGACCCTAAGTTTGGGACCTCTTTGTCAGGGTTTTTATGTTGGACAGCTAGTAGCTCCTAAGTCATTGTGCCTTTTTAGATGGCCTCTGTCCCAAAAAAATCCTGGAATTTGTTCTTTTCCTAGAGGAGAAAAGGAAGGAGAATTAGCCTGGACATGCACTCACATAACCTTTCATAGAAAGTGTTTTAAAATTGTGTTTGCATGATGTGCGTGTGTAATGTATTTCAACCCGATCCAAAGCCTGGGTATACATGTTTTTTCTTAAGCGGGATCATTTTACAAGCTGTAACTCGTTTGTTGGGGTGCTTATTTTATTATAGTTGACCCTGATAAGAAGCTTTCTCCCTTTGCATTAGGCAGCAATGTACTGTATGTGGCTCTCAAAACAGCCCTGTAAATCCTTTCACTCAATCACCATGACCTTTAGAGACATGTTGTGAATAAGACTACACTGTTGCTAGGCACAGTGATGGCAACTTCACGCGAGTTATTCTGAGAAAGCAGGATGCGTCCGTACAAACGTCAATACAACACACACATATATTTTTTGTTGGTGTTTTACCTTTAGAATAAAAAGCTAGATATTGACATTGGTTTAATTGAAAGAGTCCTTCATTGAAAGAGTCCTAGTTATGACCAGTCAATTGAAGTCAAACCTCTTTGTTTTTACCACAGAGCAGGTGTAAAGCAGATTGCATAGAATTGCTCTTATCATTACCAAAATATATAAATAAAAAAAAGTGTATAAAGCGTAAAACAATTAGCAGAGTTAATAGGTTAGTGGTTATTTCTGTCCAAACATTTTTTTCATGAATATCTGTTTTTTCCTATATCCATAATATAAAACAAACAAGGCCGTGCATATGAAGGTTGTGACATATTTCTATCTGTTGACGCAATGGCTTTTCTTAGCTTTGTTACTCTCACACATTACCAATAAGCTGGCAACTACATTGCTTGTGGATTTGCCTTCAAACTAAAATGTAATGTAAGTGTTTATAATGCAAAATATACTTAGCAAAAAAAGCCTCATGGTTAAGTATAACAGAATATTTCTATCTTCCAGCTTGGGACCATATTATATTCCTCAAACTGCAGACGTCCCTTGTGGTGCGGTGCTTTTAAAATAAAATGTTCACCCATTAAGGTGCAACAAGGTAACGTCATGGGTATGTTCTGGGTAAATTTACTGCAGCTGTCAGGCAGCTTTCACCTTGCTCAGAATATCCAGGAGTTCATTAATATCTTCTGAACTGGACTCCATCCATCTCGAAAGCATCTACAGAACCGCTACACACTGCACTGCTGTACTGCCCGGCCAAGTCACTATCAAACAAAACTGGTGCAGAAATGAAAGGAAGTTTAAAAATATCATGCACCATCTTTCTCCTAAAGCACAAAATCAACAGCAACTAAGGTAAGGGCAGGTATTTTGACTCTTAGCATCTTCCTTCAATTCATTGTAAGCACTTAACAAAACAATTAGCACACAGAATCACTCAAACATTAGAGAGTAGCACTAAAAAATAATGCGCAATTATGATAACTGCCCTTAATTTAATCCGTTTTTGCAACAAAAATGTAATGCCAAACTGTCAGGTAATTTCTGGTAATTGTGACAGGTTTATTTGTGTCCAGTGACGGGCCTCTAACTCTAAAACCTGACACCAAAGGGACTGTGGCCCAAATGGAAAGCAGCAGACCTTTCAAATCTGAGATTAGAAAGGAGGTGACTAAATGTTTATAAATGTAAGTCAGTCAATACCTTTTTTACCGAATATATACATATCGTTGTAGATTAAGTCAGATAATTCTGCATATGTTTTCATGTATTTATTTGCAGGAAAATGCCCACCATTACACCTAAATTCACTGAAAATGAATGCATGGTATATCAAGTATATACCTAGGCTTTTTAAACATTTTTAACGTGTTCCTCCTTGACCATGACAACAATGTAAAATGGGCTTTGTCTTACCTTCCAGTTTTATTATCCATAATTTGGGTTTATTGTAGACTCCTAAGAATGCTTCCAGAAAAGCCTTTGCTTGTCTGATCCTGTCCTCTGATCCTTTCTGTCTCTTTCTATTGACAACAATCCAAAGCAAAAACCTCTATGTACTCCACAGTCCGGTCTTTTAGCATCTGACCAGAGGCCAGCAGCGGGCCCCGGGCCTGTAGACCAGACAGAAATAGAGGAGTAGTCCCAGAGAGAGAGTCCACCATGGGGGGACAGAATGACGGCTTGAGCTTGCATGCAGGTCTGTGAGATCCTTTGGTGTCGAGTGTCGACGGATGAAACAAACAGCCTTTCAACTATTTATAAATCTGGACAGCTAACTCACGTCTAACAGCTGGAGCTAACTGTCACAAAGTAGGAAAGTGTTACAACTGACCTAGGAGGTTGTGTGGTCCAAACCGGGAGAAAAAACGAATTTCCTAAAGGTGTGTTATTATTGTGGGTGGGTTTAGTTTGGGTGCCCCTCTGGGAGATATAAATAACTTATTTGCCCCACACTAGAGTTTCACCCTCTTCCTTGAATGGAATTAACATGTACTATAAGGAGTGTCAACAAGTGGCTCCTGGAAACCATAGACCTGAATGCAGCCCGCTATAGACTGTAAGACCAAATAACCAAAGAATACTTTTTAAATGAATTTCCTTTTTAAAGAGGTTTTATTTAATGACACGTATATGAGGGCCTCATTTCAACATTAATTTGAACACACACTTATTAAGGTACTTAAAGTATGGATGTGTAATCTCCCTGACTACAGCCTCACTCACCCTCCAGCTGAAGAGGCCATAAGGGGAGGAACTGTCCCTCCCCCTTCCCCCTCCCCCACCTTCCTCCCCTCCTTCAGGCCGCTGCTATAATAGGAGATTGCTGTAGCAGATAGTTTCCTGGGATTCTTGGCGGGTGCAGGGCCAGCCTGGCGGGATGATGGACACACACACATGGGCCTTAATGGAGTCACACTCCTCCATGTGAACACACACACACACACACACACACACACACACACACACACACACACACACACACACACACACACACACACACACACAGATGGTTTTGCATACTAAATTTTGAGAAAAGGCTGAGGTAATCCCTTTTTAACTAATCTCTTTCCTCCCCTCTAAACAACCTCCACCAACTCATCCACCATATTCTCTCCACGTTGGCATCTTTGTCAATCAGTAACATCCATGTCTACATTTCCTTCATGTTGATGAGATAATCAGCCTAACAGATATGAAACATCCTTATTCAGATTTGCTACTTGCTGCTCTATTGTTTTGTTTTGCTACATACTGATGGGCCTTCAATACTCAGCACTTGTTAAAAAATGTTTTTGATTAGTAAAATTAAATTGACAAAAACGTCCCTCAGCAAATATTACTCAGTGTGTGTTAATCTAAAATGATCAATTTACCAACTGAAGTTTAAAATGAAGGCTGGTGTAGTGTCTGGACAAGTTTCCTGCTCCCTAAGTCCCTCTAGTGGACAGACTGAGAACAGGTGTTCAATTCCTATACAGACTGTACTGACATTTATTTTTTATATACATATATCCAGTCTTTGCACAGTGCAACTCTCCAACTTTGTTCGAAAATATTTGTAATGTGAAGCCAGAGAGGACTGTAAGCATTGATCAGAATCGCTGAGGATGCTCTTCCCCATGCTGAGTAAGGGGGAGTGGACTGTTATGTGGCAGACAGCAGACAGGCACATTACTAGCTGCATTAAGATATGCTTTGTTTGTATTATCTCCGTTCAGACCTGAGCTTAATTGATTCTAATTGATTGGGTTATTGATCAGGTCTGCTACAGGAATGAAAAGCAGAGATGTTTCTGGAGTAGGCTGTTTTTGGCCCTTCAGTTGTATGCACTTTAAGTTTGATTTTGGAATCCTCGAAAAGTGAAGATGTAGGTGTTGCACCCAATGTCAAGCAAAATAATGTTATGTATGTGCCATTCTTTCTTAAAAAATACTGTCGCTTTCTGTACGCTTTTTATTGTCTGGGGAAGGATGCATGTGCACAACGTCTCCCTGTTTCAGGACATATCTCCCCACATCCTTGCAAAATATTTCATTACTGCAACAAAAGAAGCCCATTAACTGCACTGTAAGAACAGAGTTCAACTGCTGTCCCCCATATTCACCATGTTTGTCTGCTTTTCTGGCCGCTCTCCAGCTAATTTGATATAACAATGCTCCACAAAACCGCCTCGGGACTTTTTTTAGGTGACAGAAAATTATCAATGATGCCACATGCACAGCTGAATGTCAACACCAACTTGACTTGTTTATGAAATATTAAAGCAGTGAATTATGGGCCCCATGCAGAACTTAATGATGATCGGAGTCATTATAACTTCAGCATCCTTTGTTTTGGCTAATGATTAAATTCCACAACTACTGTATTCAATTGTGGAGGGATTGAATGTGTTTTTCTCGTCTTTTGAATGAGTTGGCTGGATTCCTTCTTCAATATTGTTTTTTTTTTTGTAAAAAGAGCTTATTTATATAAGGATATTGTGTTATCATTAGCTGCCATGTCAGGGGGCTTAACATATTTTCTCTGGTGCTTTCTTAAGGCTAAATCATTATATTAGGACATGATGTTTTTGCTAATATTATTTGTGGCATGGGTAGATACAACACAGCACCTGCTATCTCATGTTATGCTACCAAATATAAAAAAATAGGCTACAATAGGTTCTGATTTTGAAACTGAATTCTTACAGCATTTGGACATTTCTGTCTCAACAGCAGAAATGTATTAGTAGTATTGTGTATTTTTGTAGAAAAATATAGTCTCCCAGTAAAATTAAAATCCCATCAAATCTTAAAAAGTGTAATTGTCGCAAGAAGGTGACTCACAGTCAGTGAAAGTGTCACTTTATTGGAGTATTTAAGGGTATTTACAACATGCACACATAACGTCGTGAAAGAAAAAAGAGGATGTTAGTGCTCTGTGTACAACCTGGCACGACTTCTGACATTATCTCGCTCTTCTATGTCACCAGGGTGTCGCCTCATCAATTATTGAACCAGTACTTCATGGTAATACATAATTTCTTATCAATTATTCATGATAATGTGTGTGTAGTTTACTTAATTGTGTTATTGACTATCAAAAGTAATTTCCTGAAAATCCTCAAGGACGCAAATTGAATCAGCCCAACTGCTGCTTGTGTGCTCTGCGGTTAAGTATTTGCAATGAGATCAGCTGATTCTTAAGTCAAGAATCAATATTTAGGAACAATCAAATGTATTTCCTGTGAAAAATTCAGTTTGGATAGGCGTGGTGTAATGTTTTTAAAAATGCAAATTCAACACTGATAAATAGCATATTTCATGTTTAATTGGGTGAATAAAAAAAAAGGCTCAGAGTGGGAGGAAGAGAAAGAGGGTGAGCGTTCCTAAAAGTAAATAAATAATAAGAGTCACGATTGCTCTCCTCTCCCAGCTTTAAGGGAAACTGATAAATAATGTATCAGAACAGATGGCTGGAGCGAGAGGCAACAGGAGAGGAACATGAGCGACTACATCTTTAATTGTTTTAAAGAACATGTCACAACAGGACGGGTGTGCTCCCTGTCTGCTGGCGCTACAGATGTGCTATCTGAGCGCTCCGTCACTGCATCTGCCTGCCTGGGGTTCACACATGGACATACTGTATTCTGGCACATGTACACATTTACACTAAAAAGTGGCTGAATAATAAAGTGCACTTTCACTTTAAAATCAAAAGAATAAGAGATTGTTTGAGCCCATAAATGACCTGATGGCATAAACATTATATTGCCAAAATTCTCCAAAAGGTCCTCCCTGTCATCAGCTCTGTACTTACAGTTTACATGCATCAACATTCACAATGTAAGCATCTGTCCTCTTCATGAAAAGAAGAGGATCTGTATTAGGATTACTTGAATTCACATTATCAAACAGGTTCTGTTTCACACATGTATCTATCTTAGTCCAGCAAATAGGGTCCAAGAGTTTGTGAAGACAGATAGATCCAAAACCACATTGTGCTTCTGTGGGGTTAATAAGGCCCCAAATATTCAGCATTTCTCACAAACAATAATAATTTACTGTCAAATAAATATTTTAATGTTGCATCCATACATTGTGATATCAGTAAAGTCTCCCAGACAATTTCTGGAGTCGGTCAGTAGTTGTGCTTCGTTGCTCATAGGAACGTAGTAATAACAGGCACGGTCACACAGATTTAGAGTATCAGTTCATCCACGTTAATGTTCAGTGCTTCACTTTTTTTCCAGTGGTTCCTTGGAGCAGTGAGGGTGTTTGTCCGGACTGCTGCCCAGGGACAGGACCTTGGTGGCCGGGCTGGGACTGGAGCCTTCCCCCCCTCTCCCCAGAGCGACGGGCACCTCGATGGGGGGACCCACTGTGGGCCTCGCCAGCCCAGCTGAGCCCATGCCGACTCCAGACAGGACCCCCATGCCGGCCCCGGGCCCCCCGTTCGCCGCACTGAGCAGGTTGGCAGACTGCAGCACAGCCTCCGAGTGCTCGCGGGCCTTCATTCGCAGGGCGGCTACACTGGCTGTGCGGTTTCCCTGACAACCGTAGGGCGGCAGGAAGGACAAGCCCATGGGGTCAGAGACACAGCAGGAGCATAAGCCATTACCTGAAAAACAACCAAAGTGGGACTTGTGGTGAGACTCCTGGAAACCAGATTTTCCTCATCACATCTTAATTATCACCATTGAAAAATTAATGAGAATCATATTTACCTTTCAGTGTGGCGACCTGTGAGAGGGCCTGGGCGTAGGTGGCAGAGTTCAGGAGTGTGCCTGGTATACAAGATGGGAAGAACGGACCACTTGGACCCACTGTCCTGTTCATACTGGGAAAAAAAGGCATACTATTTTAAATTATCTTGTGAAGAAAAAGAATTGACAAATTATTCTATTAATACACATACATTTCTAGGATTTTTTTGCAACTATTTTATAACTTTTATCTTACTACAACATGCACGGCAGAGCCGCCTTACTCTGCTTTGGTTGTTTCTTTATCAAATTAGTGGGACAGTTTAATTTACAGAAATTAAGTAGATGGTCGTTAGTGTTTCTTGGTTTTAGTTTTTAAAGGAAAGGATATTGCCTCTTATTTATTTCCATCATTCAAATTAACCAGCCTGCAAATTTGGGACATAAGAAGCTTTCTGCCACTAGTATGATACTGTTTTACAACAGCTACAAGAATGATATATCTGTATTGTCTCACCTCTGCTGCATCTCCAGCGGGTCTTTCTGCTTTCTGCCGTGGTCCACAGGGGACTGAGAGTTGATGCGAGATGGAGGAGTGCCGTCACTCATCTGCTCTTTTCCTCCTTCAGGGTCTGCGCTCCCTCGCTCTGTCTTCCTCCACTTTGCTCTGCGGTTCTGAAACCAAACCTGCATTACAAAAAGAAAGACAATTAAATTAAATCACCAATTAAAACTGGAAATTGGCTGCTACTCCTGACATATTAGCATCCATTTAGTTTATTTATTGAAGGCAGCTTTATACTCATGGTCAATTGATTCTTATCAAGTTCTTAATTTCTCTTGTAAAATATTTTTGGCATATCGCAGATAAACCAATACAAACTTAAGCACACCAATTGTAAATGTTTTTCAGGATGGGTTTGAATGTGTCACACAAGCGCTCTAATTTCCCACAGTGTGCAACTTATCCCAAAACTTCCCATCCACACAGCTGAGAAATAACCAACTTCTAGTATCTTAATCGAATGAAGGTCACTGCCTATAACAACATTTAATTGAGCAATTTTTCATTATCATATTTTAATGACTTCCCACTGACAGTTGTGCTGCCCGAGAGAGAGGCAGCTATGATGAAGTCGTTTATTTCCCTATTTAGTGATTGTTTGACAACATCAGATTCGATTAGGACTTGGTTCTAGCAGGCATTAATCATGATGTGTGAATTGAGGTTAGCGTCGGTGTGCATGTACTCTGCATCCCTCCTATTGTACCAGAGGTACAAATGATGTCAACAGCCAAACAAAACACATGCATTCATTCGGCATAAAGAATGGACAACATGTTGGTGGCAGGACAACAATACAACCAATGGACTTATCTCACCCCTGCACCTTCCAGCTAGAAGTCGCGCCCCCCCACACACACACCCGTCTCTGAATAGGCTATAATTGCTCCATTAATCTCAATTTGCAGCGTGCTCTTAATGCGGGGGAGGCCCATTGACACTTTACAAAAAGGGGGGCAATAGCACTACAACAGAAAGGAAATTTATTTTCTAATAATAATGTAAGTTTAATATCCCTGCATACTGCGGTGGATTCATGTTCAGATTTAATAATAGGAATGTGGTAATCGGATTAGGAGGGGAATAATTTGTTTACAATCCCTAATTTACAGCGCTGGATTCCATTATCAACCCCGACATTGGGTTTAAGCGATAGTAAGATGACCCTGGGGAACCAAAGGCAAACTATTATATTTCCCACAATTAGATCTGTGCGCACAACAAAACCCAAAAGCAAATCTGGAATGCGGGAAATTACATACAGGACACATAACTTAATTACATCTGGCCAAGTTTATAACCGCGCATATGTGCAGGGCAGGACCGGAATATAAATTGACAAATTTAAAGGTGTTTGTGTTTTAATGTGTGTGTGACAGAGAAAGAGAGAGATTTGAAGGCTGCAGGCTTTGCCCTCTTTTTTTTTTACAGCGTTTATCGTTTTCTGTCTGCGTAACTGGAAAAGGATCTGCATGGATGATGTATTCCTACCTTTGAGACGCGGACAAATTAGCGAGGAACATTATCGCTGGTTAATTATGAATGACCGATTAATCAAGCTAATCTAATATTCACCATTATGTTGATGTTATTAAAGTGCATCGCCGGAATGACAGAGTGGCTTAATTTACCCTCTCTTGCATGGTCAAACGTGCCCAGGACACATCACGCTGCTGCTGCCTACCTGCACCCTGGCCTCCGTCAGGTTGATCTTCATGGCCAGCTCCTCCCGGGTGAACACGTCCGGGTAGTGAGTCTGTGAGAACACGGCCTCCAAAGCCTCCAACTGCACAAACACAAAACACCATGGTAAATATTACTTTGAAGACGTTTTTTTTTTAAACTGATGCATTTGTAGTTTTCTTTTTTCCCCTTATTTTTCTTTAATGTTATAATCAGCAGCAGATAGATGCTTGTAAAAATGAAATCGCTTTTTGGATGAAAGAGGTTTATCTTAAAATAGGACTAAATATTGGATTTATATCATATTGACTGCATGCAAAGAAAGGGCCATTTGCACTTATGACCACGTATGCCCTTCCTAAGGACAAAATATTGGCTAAAGTGATTTCCTCAATTTGAATTTTGTATCAATAATAAATGTGAATCAGTGTTATTCATTTATTTAAAGTTGATCTCGCATTGACACATTATAAAAGTCTTATTTTAGTTTCTATAATAACTGTCTGGAAAACACAACTCTCTGCAAAGGTCCTTAATTTTTGTAAACTTTGCCCAAGTGATTTATTATTTTTCTACTTTTACTTTTTATCATAGTGCTGCATGCTAGTTTGGCTCTCAGTAAAGTTCCATGTATTTCTTAATAAGGATATTTTTGTGGTGGAAAATTCTTACCTGTTGCAAAGTGAAAGTAGTTCTGTTTCTGCGCTGTTTTCTACGCAAAAATCCATCATCAAAATCAGCCGGGGCGTGGTTACCAAAGCTGCTTGAATTCACTGTAAAAAGAAAAAAAAAGTGTATTCGAGAGAGTTCAGCCAATACAATTAGTTTGACAATTGCACCTTTCTTTTTAAATAATTCAGTTAGTCTGTTAACAAGAGAACTTGGATAATACCCAAAAAATGAACTGCATAAAAAAGAAATACAGGCTAAATAATACTTGGCCTAAGCAGACCAGATCTTTGGCACATTTTGTATTTCCATTAGTTGCATGAAACATTGATGTTGGATGTCTGAGGGGAACCATGACGGACTAAGAGCCATGACACCTAACATCTGTGCCCGGGACAAAACGCCCCCTCTGCCCCGGGGCCAAACCACCAGCGCTTTCACCAAAACAGCCTGCAGATTGACATAGCAGAGGGAAAATCTGACTAAATCCTTGATATTCTCATTTGAAATTGTGGTAAATAGAAAAATATTAAGCAGCCAAGCCAACCCTTTCAAGTTTACGTTAGGAAGATGAAGAATACTGTTTGTGCGATTAGATCGATCAATCTAGAAATCTTTGAAACTACCAATTCATAAAAAATTACTTTTATTTAAAAAATATGATTAATTAAAGAAGATCATAAAAATACAAATACAAACATTAGCTCAGGCCTACTCTCGGTCCTCTCCAACAATAACAACACACACACTTTGTGCGCATAATTACGCAGCCTGAACATCACAAACTTTTCCAACACGCATTGATAGAGACACTTGAAATAACTCGCAGCTGTATGAAATCAACTAAAGGTCGCTGTAATAAAACGCAATAGAGTCAACTCACATGTATTGGTGCGACAGCACTCTCCGTCCAGCTGTGGCGGACAGTGAAAGTAGAACATCCTGGCGCGTCTCCGAGCGGCGAAACTAAACCTGGAACAGAGACAAAAGTTTCAGCCAAAAGCGTCGGATCTCCTTCAGCCGCTACTGTGCAACACAGATCTGTGCTGGAAAAATCGGACACATGAAGTCGTCCTTAAAAAAGAGGTGGAGACTTGGGAAGATTCAAAGTTGGGGTGAGATGAGCATCTATACCTGCAGAGAGGATGCTGATGTGAGTGAGTTCCAGCTCTGGAGAGAAGTGGCTGCTGCACCTCCACTGACTCAGACTGGGAGTGTCCACATCTCTCTCTCTCTCTTTCTCTCTCTCTCTCTCTCTCTCTCTCTCTCTCTCTCTTGCGTGCTCTCTCTCTCTCTCTCTCTCTCTCTCTCTCTCTCTCTCTCTCTCTCTCTCTCTCTCTCTCTCTCTCTCTCTCTCACACACACACACACACACACACACACACACACACACACACACACACACACACACACACACACACCTCTCTCTCGCTCTGGGAGTGTCCAGATGTCTCTATAACTGTATAACTGTCTACAGAGTGTTAAGGCTTTCAGCTAGTGTCGCAGAATCTCACGCCTAATTGGTCCTAATCGGATTATCAGGGCTTTGTCTCTCTCACCCCCAACCCCTGGTGTGTGCGTGTGCGTGTGTGCATATGTGTGTCAGAGAAATATAGAAAGGGAGAGAGGGAGTTATACCCAGGGTGGCAAACGGCAGCTCTGCTATTGTGCCAACAAAATTCATCACAAGTGATTGTTATTCCAGAGTCAAGCATATTCCCTAACCATAAACATGCACACATACGCGCTGCACTTTTTTATTTGGTTCTTTCATATATTAAAAAAAGGAGGATGACTGCTTTTGGGTTTTAGATTGACTGTCGGGTGGGTTAATTGCTCGTCAGGGTGTGTTAGGGGGTCCACTTTACAAGGGTTTGCGCATGTAGAACACTCACAAGGCCAAATTTTTGATTTTGTTCACAGCAAGGGGTCCTGCGATTTATTTCGCTTCCTCAGATAAATGATCTGCTCCGGGACCCTTTCAATTAGTTTTAAAGCGCATCTGGGACGGCAGAGCGCAGACGCCATGCGTCTCTGAGGTGGAGGCAAAATGAGGCTTCGAGAAGCAGCTGAAATTTAGAAGAGGAGTGCGGGATTGGACTAAACCACATAAAGTGCAGAAAATCCCTTCTAATGGCGCGTAATTGGTTCTGTAATATCATTACAGGCGGATAATGGCCAGTTACAGGGCCCCGCGCTATTAAGGGTTTCCCTGGCGTGCAGCGTTTATGTTATTAAAGGGGGAATATAATGATATTTTAGTTATTAAATGCGCGTAATTAATTTATGCACCACTGAAAATAAAGTTGTTATTATGACCTCAGTGAGGTGCGTGGAGAAAATTGAAATCAAATAACGGTTGATAACTTTATCCCAATATTTGATCTAGACAAGTCTGACGAGAGCAGAGGCCTGAATTAGTGTGTGTGTGTGTGTGTGGGGATGTGTGTGTGCTTCCTGTCAGCGGCTTCCTCTCCTCCTGTGATGGGGGCTTAAGTGACTAAATGAAATTACACTTATCTTCGTTGGTTAGAAACAATTTTACAAGTGAAATGTAACTAGATTTGGCAGATTTCAAATCCCATGTTTACATACTTTCGACAGTTATTTAATTTCAATACCTTGGTCAGCTCTGCACGCAAATCAAAATCCTTAATGGTCTAACTGAGACAGTGATCTTAAATACTGTTGAACTTTGAAATATCAAATTAAATAAAAAGGTCCATATTGACAACAATATTCCCACAAAACTCAAAAATCGTTTAACATAATTGATGTCTTTTTTATTCCAATGTTGATAACCAAACTGGAAACAACAAGCAGCTTCAGAGGTTTATTTCACAGGGTAAATGCAAAACAGTGCATTCCTTGCCTATTTCAATTTATAAAACAATGCAGCTAAATTCTTCCCCCAATTAATTGGAGGTTATTTGACTATAACTTAGATTTTCTTGAACAGTTAAGAAAAGTCAGTAATTACAAAATCTACCAGAACCTACAATGATTAGGTCACATTTACAAAATGACACACTCCCGCATTATATTACAAAATATGGCACAAGTGAGACCGTTGATCAACAGAGAATTTGAGAGCAAACATATTTCTCACAGTAAATAATAACTCGAGGCAAAATAGTTTTAACTTTTAGGCTGATATAAAAACAAAGTATTCAAGTATTATCAGGACAACAATTATTTGTAAACAAGCACAAATCTCAAACCGACTCACATTGCAGCACTCATTTAACACGTTGTTGAACTGATGATGAAATGGTAATGGTTTATGTTTACAAGCTTCTCCAACATTAGCTTACATTGCATACAGTAACATATCTTTCCCTACAACATAGTGTCCCCAAAACAAAATATAATAGTGTAAAAATCCCCTTTTGGATCCAGTTTGAGTGATGTATATTTTGCCAGACAGACATTTCAATTCGACTAAAACAAATTGTAATGAAAAACAAATAAACCAAAAGATATTCTGGGCTTGATCTCTACGGACTCATTGCTGACCGTTCCTAAAATATGCATCACAGCTCAGTCTTTCTTCTTCCCTCAGCGAAAGCGCTCCTTCAGTCTCCACAGGCCCTCCTGACCGGTTCTCCTGTGGAAGTCACAGATGCTCCTGAGCAGCTCTCTGAAGACGGGCGCCTGTTTCTCTGTCAGTCTCGGTTTGAAATACTCCAGCACTTCCTGTGTGGTGGCCTCTCCGTCCACATTGGCCTGGAAGGCTATGAAGTTCCGCACATCCACCAACAGCTCGTCGTGCTCTGTGGGCGGAGCCGGGGGGAGGCTTGTTCCTGGAGCGGCCGAGCCCTCCTCCTCCTCCTCTTCTTCGGCGTCTTCTCTTTGGCTGCAGGGCACGCTGAGATGATTGCGGGCTTTCATCTTGGCCAGCAGGGAGGAGGAGGAGAGCGGGGTGGAGTTTGAGTCACCTTCCAAGCCGTCCCCACTGAAGAGGGCTCCTGCACCGGGCTTCTTTATCAAAGACTTCTTCACAATAGCAGCATCCTAAAGAGAGAAACACAACATGGTATTACAAATGCAAAATAACTGTCATTTCTATATTGTATATATTTCACTTCTGTTACCTTGCATTTGCCAGGATTAGGGACGGATTTAGCCGAAGATGCAACCAGGAGAGAATTATTCTTTTGTCCAAACCGTTTCCTGAGAGAGCAAATAAAGGAAAAAATTAGCAGTGTTGTTAATACGATTATTTGATCTTTAAACACCGGTGTGGGAGTGTGCTTCTGTGTACCTGGCAGGTGCAGGGGCAGGTGCAGGAGAGGGTCTGTTGTAGGACAGCCTGCACTGCTGGCGAGAGACTTTGAGCGCTCTTAGGGCATCTTTGGCCACCCTGTTGGCTTCTGCCTCCACCAGAACATAATCAGGGTTGGAGGACTCCATGATGGTGTCATGCTGCATCACACTGTGGATACCTGAGGACGTCAACAAAGAAGCTTATTGTTCTGTAATACTTTATAAAAGGGCCTGATAGAGCTGGTTAGTGCACCACAAAGCCTACCAGATTTCTTGAAGAGCTTTGCCAGGACGTAATCATCAGATTGCTTCTCCCCATCATCGTCTGCGTTCTGAAAGGTCTTATTCTTTACCAGGTGAGGGATGCGTTGGCCTTCAAACCGAGAATCCTTGGAGTGCTTTCGCTTCTTATGTTTGTGTTTATCCGAACCTGAGCTGCAGTGCTTCCTCTTTTCCCTGTGCTTATGTGGGCTGGTGAGGGCAGAGTCTCTGTCTATGTGTTGGCGAGCTGCGTCTCTGTTATTTGGTCCTGTATCCTGTGTTTTTGCTGAAATATTATCTTCTACATAGAGGTCATTTTGGTTTGTTCTTCGACTGTCTGTAGGGGCATTTGGTTGACCCGGAGAGTTTGTAATACATAGAGAATTGTTTCCTGCGGAGTGTCTGTTGTCCTCACCGGTTTCATTCTGGTTAGCTGAGGAGTGTCTATGGTTTACTTTGTGCGATGGCCTTGGCCTCTGAGGTTTTTTAGGTGCCACGACATCAGAACCTGTACCTGTATTACAATGATAAACAAAACATGCTAAGTGAATTCTTCCAGGTTTAGTTTTTAAAAGAAATTCTGATAATCTAAACATTTGACAATAACTTGTTTTCCTGGTAAGAACCACATCGACAAATAACAGGAATAATATGCAAACCAGCAAATATGGCACTGGTCTCTGTTCCCTGAGCTCCATCAGGGTCGGTCAGGGTGAAGAGCTCATAGATGTCGTTAGACTTGAAGAAGCGTCTTTGTTTGGGGTCCTTCAGAACGCGGTTGGTCAGAAACTGTTTGAAGATTTGCCTGAACAGATAAAGAAACACAATTAGATACTTATGTTTAATTTGTTATTTTATCACAGCAGGCAGCCCCGATCATCTGTCATCACAGAGTAGTTTGGCTGATGGATGAGAAAATTAGTTAACCGCACTACTGTAGGTATCAAAATAGCATCCCTGCCGTTCTTTCAACTTGCTTTTTGAAAGCACTTTATAGACCCAAACCCAACAGAGCAACACTTTAGTAGTCCTACATTGGCCATTTAATAATGCAGGAAAGTGTTTCAATTACAGAGAACTGTGATAGTGCAGGTAGTAATACAGCAGCGATGTGGGCTATAAGTCATGTCGTTACCAATATTCACGAGTGTGTGAATTTAATGAAAAGATAACAAAAGTGCATTAGAGGAATCACAAAATGCAGGGAACTCTTTTTATCGCGTCCTGTGATTGAATATAATATGTACTAAATGTTAACGGGCAAACATAAAAAGACAAACTGCACCTGTGGTAGATTTTCTCCTCGATGGTCCCGGCAGTCAGCAGTCTGTACACCGTCACCGACTGTGTCTGACCGATCCTCCACGCCCGCTCCCGTGCCTTACATAATACATGAAAATAAAATGTTAAAGGTAAATAATCTGAAACACACAGCCAGAGTATTTTTTTGCTGCAATTAATGTGAGCAAAAATAGAAAAATGTGTGTGTGTGTGTCTCACCTGTGTGTCGGTACTTGGGTTCCAGTCTGGGTCATAGATGATGACTCGGTTGGCTCCAGTCAGATTGACTCCCAGACCTCCGACTTTAGTGGTCAACAAGAAGATAAAAATGGATTTGTCCTGTAAAACAAAATGTCAGTGATTAAAGAACATCATGTCCAGAGT